TCTTGGAGAAGCAGTACTTACTGCGAACATCAGACGGGAAGAAAAAGCGAGCTGCAGGAATCCACAAAAAATAAGACAATTTACTACAGCACGACATTGCTTCTGAAACTCAAGGGACTGTATCCACAAGATTAAGTCGGAAAGTACTGAACTGTCACCAGTAATACGAGGATTCTGTCCGTAAGAAATAAGTGTCAAGTCTGCTAAAAGGAAGAACTGAATTATTGGCATCAATTTCATTTAATATAGTTATATGTAAAACTTCGAGAAAACTAGATAAATAATACAAGTATAAAAAAGCAAAAAAAAAGTTTTAAAGGTACGATAAGTTCTGTTTTCATACGCTCGTTATATTTTCTTTCCGTGTCTTTGAACTACTCTACCCTGAGCATGAAACATAGGTGACGAAATGTAGGTAAACCCGAAAGGTATTATATTAATTAATTCTCAGAAAAACATTTTAAATTTTTAGAAGATAAACACAGTTTGGACGTTACGATAATTCATACACATATTACCGATTTTACATTCCGAAAATTTAGTCCTTTTAAACTTCCATATCATGTTTAACATTAACACATTTAAAAACAACATCAGTCTTAATAGATAAGACAACTAATATTTAAATTTATCGGATAGCACATGAAGTTTATCTGATTCAACAAACAATATAATAATACCTGCGATTCTAAGATTATTTTCCTCATATTATTTTAAATCTAAAACACGGACATCCGTTGTTAATTTCAGGATCTGTAAACAATCCATATCCGTATTTGGAAGGAAACTTGTAAAAGCTGTCTTTTGCGTTTTATTTAGCTAAAGTTCCAATTTAAGGGAATGTTAGGATTCTTCCACATCTCCAAAATATAAAATTTGTTCACAAATAATTCTCACACCTCATTTAATGCCGTAAAGATAACTTACGATGTGACAGACAGCTGTTAATATAATCTACCATTTTCATATTTAGATACATAAGACTTATGAAATAAACATTGCATCAGGTCAGAGAGAAACACAACGTAAATCAGCTTTGATGGCAACAATTTCCCAACACAGACCTATGCATCGAACTCAGTTTCATTGCATGCAGTGAGTCTTTATCTAACAAAAGAACTCACTTCATGGAAAATCCAAGTCAAACTGAGTTCGTTTAAACATTTTCCTGCCAAGGTTTTCAAGAGAATAAATTCTTTTGTTTCATACGTCTCCGTGGTAACATAAGGTAACAAACCTAACTTTGTTTTAGAAAACCAACGGACAGCTAGCTTCATCTGTCAACAGAGTCGCAAAACCCAAGCACAGAAGAGGCCATTGTTTATAAAAGAGATATTGTGCTCATAGCATGGAAGTGGTTAAATGTAAAAAAAAGGGCCAGAAGCCGACTTTTTACAAACCACTTCTATAAATACTAAAATAACATTTGTCAGCTCACACAATAGAAGTACCGATCCACCTTTGGACGACGTAAAAGCTGAGGCATTATCATATATTACGAGACAATGGAACAGATAAGAAAACTGCTTATGTTACATATAAATGATTAACAAAGTCTTAACACAATAAAAATACTTCCAAATTAGAGTTTCACCGATGCAGACTTTCAGTAAGCTACTAGTGTAACTTTCAAAAAAAAATTAAGAGAACATCCCCTCATTTGTTATGCAAATGCACTGTCAGTACTTGCAGTTTTATACGAATTCAGCATCAGGCGAAAAACACAAAGGTGACATCGCAGTAATAAATATATATGAATGATGGCCGTGAAATTTTTAACGCTTTCACAGACTCACCCTCCAACATGGAAATCGCCCTGACGTTCCAGCGTTTGAAGAGGCAAATTTGATTTTAGATCACTTCAAATTTAGTCTCTTACCCGACACAGAAAAGACACTGCACTATAAGAAAGAACCATTTTTATTTAGCATTAAATGCAGGTCCTAAATACGACATTACGACATAACACATCATCCCTATTATTAACATCACTGGCTGTGCAGAGTGGTCGTTTGATGTACTAAACGCTTTTCAAGTTAAAAAAGAATGGATGCTTAGTGTTTGCACTCTTGATACCGATATGCATACACAAATACACTGTTTCAAATTCGATGTTCTGACAACGTAGGTTTTTTTTTTAC